TGGCTGTCCGTCTGGTATTGCACTGTCCGGCCGTACAACAGGTTCGGTGCCTGCTCTCGCAACCAGTTCAAGCTGTACAGCAGCGCCTGCAGTTCTCTTTCTGTGCTGCTAAAGTCATTCCGCTGCAGCCGCTGGGTTTCCTGAGCTTTGAAGGGCACAAGCATGTGGCTGTTGGCGCCCAGTTCTTCTCCAGGTAAGAAGGCTGCTAAGGCCCTGTCTGAGGCGTCCCCGACTAGTTCCGTCGTCAGTCATAGGGCTGGTCCTTTCCGCCAGGTGGCTGTCCCGTTGCGCCTGCCCAGCAGCTCCATAAACAAGCCTGCCTGGTGTAGCACCTCTGCCGGGTCCCAAACCTCTTCGTCCCACGCCACGCCCCGGGCTACATGCCACACCATCCACGCATACAGGGGTGCCGTGGTGACGGCGGGCGTCATGGCGATGATTTTGCCGGCCACCTGCGCCACCTGCCGCGCTGTTAGCCGTTTGCCTTCGAGCTGTGTGAGCAGCGTACGGAATCTAGCTAGCTTGTCGTCTGGTACTCTGAATGCTTGCGCCTCCGCATCCACCTCCATCCCCAAGAAACAGACTCGCCTTCTTGGGATCAGCTGGCACTTGGACAGCCTGAGGGTGAAGCCTAGGGCTGCCAGCAGCCGTACCACCGCCCCACACTCGTACTGTGCCGCGGCCTTCGACCCGCGGCACCCATCTGGTCGTCTATCAGGAAAGACATGCGGACCCCTAGCTGCCATAAAGGCTGGAAAACCTCGAGCTTCATGCTTGTGTACAAGTGGCAGGCCGGCGCCAGGCCGAACGGCAGGTGTGGCCAAAAAAGCGTCTGCCCCCGCCACCGCATAGCCAGATATGTGTGCTCCCGTTCGTGGAGTGATAGCTGCCAGTACCCGCTCTTGTGGTCCGTGGTGTACAGCCAATCTTCCGGTAGGAGGTAGCTAGGTACATCTGCCAGTCGTTCGTACTTCACAGGCCGGTACTTCAAGAAACAGTTAATGTACATCGGATTAATACAGAGCAGCTTGCCATCTTTTTCCACTACCCGCAAGCCATTGATAACCGTGGGGGGGGGCGCGTCTGCTGGCCATTCCGTATCACCCCTCGGTCAAGGGCCTTTCTCAATTCGGCTGTAACAAACTCACTGTGCTGAGTCGCGCTGCGATGTTAGGAAACTGCACGGCTCGCGGCCGGTCACCCGCCATGATAAAGTCTAGGTCACAATCTGGCGCCGCGACCCACAGCATTTCCCGCACTATAGCTAGCTTGCATCCCCGCTCCGGGGCTAGTTCTTGCCCTGGGTAGTCGCACGGCACCCACTCCAGCTGAATTCCGCCCTGCAGGTATCCCAGCCACCGTTTCTGTTTGTCCGTGAGGGGCCGGCCTTCGTTAGCTGCCTGAAAGAACACTCGCCACACTGCAACATGTAGACGTATCCTTCCTGGTTGGAAGTCTTCAGGATCTGGGAGCAAACAGACGACCTCTTCGAGAAACTCCTGTTTATCCCGCGGATCTACCGCGTCCTGTTGCCCCAGCCGCTGCAACCTCTGCCAGGCTTCCTGTAGCAGCTGGAGTGCCTCCCTGCCCCCAGCGTTGCGGGCACTCGCTTCCCAGGCTGGTGCTAGTCCTACGCCGCTGGATTTCCGCCCTGTCGGCTGGTGACTCACCCACTGGTCGTCTTCGCAAGGGTCATCTTCCAACGACAGCAACTCGGTCGGATCCCTTCCGTCGCCATCCTGAGTGTCTGCCGGGTAACCCACGTCAGGTTTCCTGTCATCGTCCCTTGCCGTTCCCTGTGTGCTCTCAGTCGACCTGGTTAGCATAGGCCTCTGGGCTT